TAAACATAAAGAAATCTTGATAGTGTTTCACAGAATTTATAAACAGTTCTAATAACAATGTGGTACCTAGCCTGTCGTATACCCTGATGGTATTCTCATGACTTTCAGGTTGCCTGATCTGCTAAGAGCGATGTGACAGTACATGATGCTATTGTTGTATGCTAGGTTCAAAGAGAATCGTATGCTATATGCATGCAAATCCTCCCTATTATTGTTCTTAATATTAATATTTGATTTCAATAATTGATCATATCTTATCAAATGTTCAAGTATCCAACTGTTAGTATTCTTATCTCTAACTGTTCTATTATCTAGAAACAACGTGACTACATATAATTCAATACATTAAACAGGTTCCAGTTTGTTTGTTTGTTTTTTTTAATTAAATATTGAAATAATGAAATCACCTTTTTCTTAGAAAAAATATTTAAAACTTTTGTTGATATTCAAACGCGATGGCGTTTGAAGCGAATAGTACTGGGTTAGAGTCCCAGAGTGAACATCAACTCTGACATGTAAGTACATCCAGCTGACGAGTCCCATATAAGACGAAACGCGCATCAAACTGGATTCAACTGCTAACCACTATCCATCTTTTGTTAATAACTTTATAACTGTAATCAGTGAGTTATTGATTATAATGATGGATTCCTAAACTCTTGCGATACCCAAAATATATCTAGATCAATGAGAAGGAAAAAAACGATAATGTAATCAACGTTATAATCAGGTCTATACTTTTATAATGAATTAATATCAATAAAACATATTCATCACAATCGTAAGAAAAGCTAAAACTGGAATGGGTTCTCAAACTCGAGTTACCTAGTCTCATATTAAGTAATATTGAACTAAATGACTGAATATATTTAGATCTAAACAATTAGACAACATCATATTTGTTATTACTTTGACATTGAAATTTATAATAAATACAATGAATTTATCTCATTCAACTAACTCTTTATCATAGAAAACTTTTTTATCTGGTTAGCGTACTTTTTTAGCGAGTTGTTTTTTTTTATGGGATAGGGTCATTAACCCCATACCTAACCCTCCTTCTTTATCGAGGCTTGGGACCGGCAGTAACCCTAACCCTAACTTTTTTTTCTAGCAAATCTAGTACTATGGAATTATTTCTTACTTATAGCTAACTGATAAGCTATTTGTTCATTAAATAGAACTACTCTTGTACAAAACTATAATCTCAAACGTCATTATTAGTTAATTAATTGTTTATAAATTGATGGATCAGCTGGTTGTCTGTAAATTCAATTTTATGACTCATATTTTCGCAAGGATAGATATGATTGGCTGAAAATATTAACCAATCAAATTATTGAATTAAAGAATATTGTTTTAAACAAAGTATGAAGTAATTGCTCAATAATTGACTTATGTATCATTTATAACTATATATATCAAATAAGATTACTTTAAATCTATTAAACTGCTTTAAAATAGATTAATATTCGTTTTAAATCACAAGTTTATCATACACTTTTCACATGTAAGATCTTTATTTCCCATAAATCCGAAGTAAATTAATTAACTAAACTTTATTAAAGATGAATCTTTTGAAAGAAGGATTATCAGAGAATGTTCTGTACACTGAAATTATACTTCATTTTATAAAATTAGTTTCCTAAAAATAATGCTGACATCTTGAAGGAAGTATATACTCAAAACTGTAACTCTGCCAGGGAAGTCCTACTCACTACCTTATTGTGACGAGGTGTTGTTTACATAATTGAGAGGACTAAAGGGAAATATCCCGTACTATATGGAGGATCCATTTAGTAGAATTGGGAAACCCTCATTCCAAACCAATGGTGCACATGGGCTAGATCCAGGATCCTGAAAGTACAAATAGTGTATGAACCATTTGTTGGTCACCGGTTACCATGAGACTGCATCTTCTGAAGTTGCTCCACTGCCTTGTGGATTAGACCTTTAGGTCGAGGGCTCCGAGTGTGGCCACCTAAGAAAACCACCTGCCTCGGTCTGGGCATCCGTGCAGTATCCCAGCCCCCACACAAATCGAATGATTTATGTGGCGCATATCTATTTGGTACCTTCTTGTACAAATGTTTATGTGTTTAACTAAATAAATACAATAGATTACAATATTCTTGAAAAAAACTAACTTGTCTAGAGAAAGTTTCTTTGATTACAAGATAAGTAAAGTCAATCGCTGAGTAGTTCACTGTCTTGTTACATCATTTGATCATTATAAAGAGAATATGCGCATACAACTTCAACGTTATTTTGATATTATGTAGAAGTTTGAATTTTGACACTTTAACCAGTATCACCTTTTATAATTGAATCGTGTTCACCTAGCGAAATCAATAGTCAGAAGTGAGGAAGTTTGAAGATATATTTAATAGGTTATCAATAAATTGAGTAGTGACTTATCTAAACCGGCTAGCCGTTGTAGGAGAAGTTGAACACAGCGTTCTCACTCGTGATCTGATGCAGATACATAACTGAACGTCTTCTGCCAAATGAGTACATTAAAACTAATATAATCAGTATCAAATATCAAACACTTACAAAGCTATTGATTTTGAAAATTTATTTACCGCTGAATACTTTTTTAAAAGAATTTCAAACTTATCATGAAGAAAATTATGATTCAATTCATATTGATTCATTGAAGTGACTGATACCATTTCCTCATTGTATATTCCGATGTTCCACGAGGAAGTCGAATAATAACACAACTGATTAAAAACATTTTCATATTTATTTTAGATATGATTTAATAAAATAGATTATAAACTAGAATTTATTGTAACATTTTATATTTATCCTAAGAACAAAACAGTTTATAATCAGTAGACTTAATTAGTAGTATATTACTATCATCATATAATCAAACATGTTATATTGAACAAAGCAATTTATTTCACATCAACTCTGAGATGCAGGTACATCCAGCTGACGAGTCCCAAACAGGACGAAACGCGCGTCAAACTGGATTCCACTGCTAGCCACTATCCATTTTTGCTTATAAAGCAATTTATTGTTGTTATTATTATTATAAACACATTACTTATTATTAGTAAGACAACTTTAGAAAACTACGATAATGCTGTGTATACATACTAAGAGAAAAGTATAAATTAGTATTCAATAAAAATCAAATGAAGCTAGAAACGTGCAAATAGATTAACCATTCTAGTTTCCCTTATCTAATAATCAATACTATTTCTGACTCCTGGATGATAGATATACAATCCTCAAGGAATTCATCACCAACTGTTGTTATTTCACAATGAAAAAGATACTGGGTTCGACTAACAGAGTCAAAATCAATTGTGAAATTCAGGTACATTCAGTTAACGAGTTCCCATACATGATGAAACTTGAGTCATAGATTCCACTTCTAGTAAGCATGCATCTTTTTTTCTTATAATAGCTGTTCAATGATTTTAATAATAATTATTCGAACTCATAAATTAAACAATTAAGTAAATTACGTAATCATTATGAAATAAACAAGCATATAATCAGATGGGTTTTTTGTGGAGATTGTAGTAATTTCAATGGTTAAGATCATAAGTCAGTTGAAGCTAGACCACCATGGAAAACCTGGAAGCACTGAACGGCCGTTTCGTCCTATTGTGGGACTCCTCAGCAGTGCGCATCCACTAGTTCTAGTGAGAAGTAGTGACCAGTGGAGTTCAACCAGGTCTGTTGTGAGATAGTAACTCACTGAAGACAATGGTGAATGTGTCGCTCAGTTTCGTGGATTAGTTGAAGTTAGATATTAACACTGTTGGATGCCGACGGCTCAATGGTTTAGTGTTTAAGTGATCGCGCGCGAAACCAGTAGGTCCTGGGTTCGAATCTAGCAGGGGGGAGAGGTCGTGGATGCGCACTGCTGAGGGGTCCCGCAATAGGACGAAACGGCTGTCCACTGCTTTCAGGTTTTCCATAGTGATCTAGCTTCAACTGACTCATGATCTTAACCAATGAAAGCATACAATCATTATTCAGGTTTGTAACTATGCCTATCTATCACTAAAAGTCTTTATTTATATTGAACAAGTTAGTATCGATTTGAATTCAATAGCTTAATCAATAAAAAAGTTGTTATTTGAGACAATAAATAAAAAATTCGAATCTTAATTAGCTCCAGTTCAGATAAACATTCATATTGATGCAGCCTTTGAAGAATCAATATTATCCATTATTATTCTTATTAATGACTATTCAATATCATACATATTTTTTGGTACAATATAGAATTCTCAGCACAAAATATTTCAACAAGTTCCCTTTCCTTATTTCTTCATCTATCCTGACGATAACATATTGACTTATCATTAGTTAGATGATGTTAGCACTTCACGAATTGAAATCTGAATGATGATCATTCTTTTCAATGTATATTAACATTCAATACGATGTCTTTGATTGTAATTTTTTTATATGTTGAACGGCCAATAAATCCAGAACTTTTCATAAACGCGCTTAAATAAATTATGTGAATAAGGGCCAATAATGATGTGTTAAGACAAACAAAGGACTGCTAACCTGTTGAAATATGTTAATGTCAGAAACAGATAGCCCACGTATTCAAGCACTTATTGTTTAATTGTAGTGCTAAATATACACAATGTGAAATACAAGGTTTTACTTACAGTATTGTTGTAATTTTTTTCATTCTCATTTAATATGTGTAATACATATGGTTTTCCCTCAAATGATTCAGTTACATATAAAAATTTAAAAGAAAAACTTATGTACTACTTATTATCTTCCACCACCATCATCATCATCATCACCACCTCCACCACCACCACTACCACCACCACCACAACAACAACAACAAGAACAAAACAAAAAAAATATTCTTACAGTATGATTTGTTGATTCCCACTTTTTAATTAACTTCATTTTAATTTGATCAATCAATCAGATTTGAGAATTAGAATAACAAAAATGAAACATACCAACCAAAAAAAAAATAGTCACACTATGTATGATTCATTGTAGAATTATGCTAATGAAAAGGAAATTCCTATTCGAATACCTCAAATTAGTATATAAATATAAGATCAAGATAGAAATGAATAACTTTATAAAATCGTTTATAATCAGTAGACTTAATTAGTAGTATATTAATTATCATATAAATTATCATTCTATTTCATCCATCCATCCATTCATTCATTCATTATTATTTTGTTTAAATCAAACTTAATATTTAAAAGTGGGATATTCAACTTTCAATTTTCTTTTTTTTTCTTTGTAAAAAAAGAAAAAAGCAAAAAAAAGAGAAAGTTATTATTTTCCGTTGTTGTTTCTTTTTCCGTTTTTTTTCCTCAATGAATCTATTCCAACCATTAATGAATGAAAAAGAAGTTCAAACAGATGATGGAGAAATTAATGAAAGTCAATTAGTGAATTTAATCAATTTGGTATGTTCTAATCAACGTTGGTTAAATAAGAGAAAAAAAGGTAAAAAAAAAGTTGTTTTTTTTTGTTGTTGTTGGTTTTTCCATGTCATTTATTATGTAATTGAATAGACTGTAATTAATCATCAATTTCGCTCGCTCTTATTGACATATGTGCCTCCAGTGAGAATTGCTTCGATATTACCTCGGTTCACATGTATTATATACAATGATAATAATGGCTAGCAGTGAAATCCTATTTGCTACTCGTCAATTGGATATGCCTGCATCTCAGAGTTGATATACATTTCGAGACTCGTACCCAGTACCGTTCACTTTAAACGCCATCACGTTATTCACTTGGCTAATATATCCTGATAGCCACCTGCTTATGTAATTATTTCATTCTTTTTTAAAACTCCCTGAATTGAACATAATTTACTAATCATCTGTTGTAAAATAAAAACAATTTAAGTCACATGAAATGTGCCGCGAAAATTGTTCAATGTTTCAATGTTACAAATTAATACAGATCATAAGAGGAAGGTATTGAGAAAGAAAAAAACTGTTTAAATACTAACTGTATATTAAAATAATTATGAATATTTATTTATATATATAAGAAACTTTCTTTGTTACTAAGTTATATTAGCTAAAAAACAGCTCATTGAATAATAGGTGAAAGTGTATAGTCAGTTCATCCTAGTTCGATAACCTTATAGAAGTACCTTCTTCATAGTCTGTAAACAAATGGGGTTGAACTTATGACTTTTATTTCAATGGTTGAGAGCATGAGTCAAATGAAGCCAGACCACCATGGAAAACCTAGAGACGGCTGTTTCGTCCTGATCAGGGTCTCCTCGGAAGTGCGCATCCACAATCTCACCCCCTCGCGAGATTCGAACCTATAACCTATCACTCTCGCACGCGAGAGTTTAATTCGTTGGATGCCGGCTCAGTAGTCTAGCGGTATTTTCAGATCTCTTGATGAGTTTCTTAAATTTAGACCGTTAAGTCAGTATTCAATTCTCTAAAACTGAGCACTATAATTAGTAAAGCACTGTCTTACTTTTTCAATAATATTTCGTTTTTCTAATGTAACTGTTTTATTATTTTCTTTTTTTTGAAATTCAAGTGAATACCGTACGTAGTCCATTGAAAAAATACTGTTATACCTCAATGTTCAGCAGATTATCGTCATTACTAATAAAAACATTAAGAACTTTAGCATTGCAATCATTCGCCTTAATAACATCATCAGCATCCTCATCAACATCATCATCATCGTCATTATCTATATCAAACGAATTGCTTATTATTGGTGCTGGTCAAATGAGAACTGGTACAACTAGTTTAAAATTTGCACTTCAATTATTATTTAATCAACCATGTTATCATATGTATGATGTAATTTATAAATATCAAGAATCACATATTAAAAAATGGATTAATATATTTAATATGCATAAGAAATGTGTTAATATTGAAAAAGCTAATTGGAATGATATATTCAATGAGTGTAAATTTGCTGTGGATTATCCAACATGTGTATTTTATAAAGAGTTAATGAATATTTATCCAAATGCCAAGGTAAATGAACTTTAGTTTGCTTTTTTTTTAATTGACTTATGATCACAACCATTGAAGTTACTATAATATCCACAAAAAAAAACAAATCTGATATGAATCGACATATGCTCACTAGTGACTAGCTTCAAGAGATATTTCCTGGAGTTCTAGTGAGAAACAGTGACTAATGAAGTTCAACTGGGTCTGTTGTGAGATATTAACTCACTGATGACAATGATGAATGTGTTGCACGATTTTGTGGATTAGTTGAAGTTAGACATTAACACTGTTGGATGCCAGACAGCTCGGTGGTATAGAAACTAAGCGTTTGCGAGTGAGATCGATAGGTCGTGGTTTGGAATCTTGCGGTGCGGGATCATGGATGCGCACTGCTGAGGAGTCCCACACTGGGACGAAACGGACATCCAATGCTTTCAGGTTTTCCATGATGGTCTAGCTTTAATTAACTGATGAATTCAACCGTAAAAGATGCATAAATACGTTCCAATAATCTGTCTAAATGTTGAATATTTATTGTAAGAATTGAAATTCTTCTATAATGAATCAAGTACATTATTATAACTGTTCTTAAATGAAAAATTCAGCTCATATTAATTAAATTACGTAAACTATTCTATTTTTAAAATACTTTTCATAGTAAACAAAATTTATCAGCTGATATATTTATTATTTGACCTTAACGAATAACAAGAGAAGTTTATTATAATGATTTAATATAACTAAAATTTATTCACTTGGTATTGTTTGGCTTGTATCTTCCCATTGAGGTTTAACACTGCAATTGATCAGTCTGTTATTGGCATATATGCACACTGTGCATATTGCCTCGATATTGTCTCAATTCATCACAAGCTTTATAAGCAATAATGAATAGTGGCTAGACATGGAATCCAGAACGTGCGTCGCAGAGTGAACATTAACTCTCTGAGATGCAGGTGCATCCAACTGACGAGTCCCAAATAGGACGAAACACGCGTCACACTGGATCCCACTGCTAGCCATTATCCATCATTTCTTACAAAAATATCCTATATACTGAATTATTTTTTCTCGGATTTTTTTTGTAGGTAATTTTAACAATTCGAGATGCTGATTCATGGATTTCAAGTTGTCGAGCAACAACTGCTTCTGATATGGTTATGACTAAACATATCACATTCACTGAAAATATTATTTATCGTTTACGTGGATTGAAAAGTTTACCAATATTACATGATAAAATGTACACTAAGGCATTTGGTTCAAATTATGATCAAATGACAGATGATGAATTGAAAAATGCTTTTATTAAATGGAATCAAGAGATTATCAATTATGTTCCAAAAGATCGTTTATTAATTTTTGATCCTAATGATGGATGGAAACCTTTATGTGAATTTTTAAATATTCCTATTCCTGAAAATATTCCATTTCCTCATTTGAATAAACGAATAGATTTAAGGAATAGCTTATTAAAATATCGATTTTTAGCACAATTTTTAAATTTTTCATTCATTATTTCATTTTTATGGTTTATTCATTATATGATTACATCTTAAACTATATGGGTATAAACTGATAAACAATTTGTCTACTTATTTCTAAATAAGTAGTTTCGTAAAATGTAGTCATTTTTTAATTTAAATTATTTGAAAGTAGTATTCTAATTTAATTTTTATTTTATTTTTTTTTTAAAAATTCAATGTTTATCCAATAAAAGACCTCTTTATTCACTTTCACTGGTAATTATATTTAACTTTTATGTATGATGATTTAGCAGTTATTTAACCAAACATCTCCATTATTCTAAGGCTCAGATGCACATGTGTCACTGACTATGATAATAGTTTAAGAGTGATATATTTTGCTGCTGGTAACGGTTTTTGACCAATGAAGTTTAGATATTTTAAAAGTGCAATCAATAAATGTTTATGTGTCATATTACAAATAGGTTGATTTTGAAAACAATGTGTACAACTAAATGTGAAATACTTTGTCTGGCGGTAAAGCTCTTTACTCGATACTTAAAAATCTTAGATTCAATTTCTAGCAAGATCATTGAGTGCGAAATGCTAGATAGTTCTCCTACTAGAACTGAATAATTTCAAAGTTCTTCATAGTTTTTAATAGTACCTAAATAAAGTCCCTTTGTAATGATTATCACTTTCGAATTAAATCAATCTGTGCAAAGTCTTTTTGATCACTTAATCATAAGATATAATGTAGAATGATTGCTAACATAGGTATATACATAAGCTTAGTAATGAATATTTTTGCTTCATCACTTATTTTAGAATAAATCAACCAAACAAAAGATCATATTAACAACAGCTTGATTTCCTGGCCCTAATGTTATAAATTTATAATTTATTTGGGTTACAGTAACTAGTATACAGTGTACATAGTAGTAGTGTAGTGAACAAGAACGCAAATAGCGGCAGTCGAATGTATTTGGACACAAAATTACAGAACATCTTACTTAAATCTGAAAATCATACAGTAAATAGTTAATTTGCAAAATATCAATCCATTGTCTCCAACTTGATTGCTCCGTTTGTAAATATCAGTCTATCGTCTCACATTTGATTGTTCCTGCATCTGCCTTCCGTTTCCGTTCTTCCCCTGTCGATCTTTTGTTGAAACACATTCTATACCAGACTATCGTTATATACTACCTACGTAGATATGAGTAGCTCATACCACAGTAGTACAGTAGGATTAAATGAGCGAATACCATAGATTACTTGTAAAATTGTAAATTCATTGGGAAATCGATACGAAAATGTCGTCTCAATAAGACTGGGTAACGTTTATGAGTGTCTGTTGGGGTAAAAGTTACTCCATTATTTCACATTATCAGCTGAAAAATTATTATCATTAATTATAAGCAAAGATGGATAGTGGCCAGCAGTGGAATCCAGGACGTGCGTTTCATCCCAGTTGGGACTCGTCAGCTGGATGTACCTGGACCTCAAAGTTGATGTTCACTCCGGGACTTGAACAATAATAAAATCAATTATTTATTGTGTTGAGTAACGTGATTAATCGACGAGATATTTGCGATACCTTGGTTGGCAGATGTCACTTGTACAGTGTTATATCCATAATAATACTGTATATTCAATTTATGATGATATAATAGTCGTTAATCTCTAGTCAAATTACATACATAAGACAAAAAAAAAGAAAATTTCCGTTATATCGCTCTATTTGAATTCACTATGACCGATCATAGACTAACAATCGCTGAATACCTTTATCAGTGTTTGAACGACTGGACAACACTTTCCTTCAAGTTGAGCCTTGTGTTCATACAACCTCTCTTCGCACAGATAAGCGTACAAATCAACTTGAAATTATGAAACATGGAAGAAATAGCTGTATTTTGTGTCATTTGCTATGCTACGAGTCTACCTAATCTGAGAACGGAACGAAGACTCTGTGATGAAATGACAGATAAACTAGCTATTCCGATGCGTCCCAGCCCGGCTAACTAGAGAGAGAATTCCAAGTTCGGGAGAGGGAAATATATTTCACAAGCAGTCAGAAACATGAACAACTACAATAAGCATAAATCAAGCGTATATATACAGTATAAGAATGTCCTTGGGAAACGGTACAAAATAGCATACTAAAAGATACAACGAACCAATAGCGTTTAGAATCCTCCCAGGTGGGATATACGACATGAAGGTGAAAATGAGCGCTTTTGGCGCGAAAACAAGAAATTTAAATATTAAAAATAGAATTACAAAAGTACAGCATTTATCAAGTGAGTTCTAAGGATCTAACATCCTTAACAATTTATTTTTAAACAGTCTCCAGTTGTTATCAGATCTGACTTCAGATTGAACAGTCTTTAAAAAAACTTTTATTTAAAACATTTTTCACAGTCTATAATCCTTCAGTTCATGGATTTCGAATTCGGTTTCAGCAGATCTGAAAATAAGAAATAGTTTGTATAAAACAGTCGCATTCTGAGAAAATCACTAAAAGGTGAACTTTAAATTAAAAGTTACAAGGGTTTTTATATAAACGATAGACATCTACCAGGAAGTGTTCATGGATAAACAAATCACCAGTTGAATAACCTTATTCATCCTTTCATTAAAACATACAAAATTAATTCATTGGATATTCAGTCTCTTGTAAAAGTTTCAAAACATAATGAATGTTGTTCTTTCTTTATTCGTATCAGTGACCAGTGGATTTCAACCAGGTCTGTTGTGAGATAGTAACTCACCGATGACAATTGTGGATGAGTGGCTCAATTTCGTGGATTAGTTGAAGTTAGATACTAACACCGTCGGATGCCAGCTGGCTCAATGGTCTAGAGGTTAAGCGTTCGCGCGCGAGACCAATAGGTCCTTGGTTCGGATCTGGCGAATCGGGATCGTGGATACGTAGTGCTGAAGAGTCCCACAATAGGACAAAACGGCCGTCCAGGGCTTCCAGGTTTTTCATGGTGATCTAGCTTCAATTGACTCATGATCTAGACTATTAAAATAAATTGTTGGTTATTATTTTTTGGAGAGATAGAAAAAGAAATGTCTTTCGGTTATTACATTCACTCCAAACTCTGAACGTAAATAATTCATCCAGCACTGGCTATGCGAACTGTCAATCCTATTTGATGGGCATAAGTTGATCGGTTTCGTAATATTGCTTCCTAAAGGGTCACTATAAGCACTCAGACATATATGTAATGTCAAAAGGTATGACAACAACCCACAAATGGAGAAGCCTACTGACGTGGGATCTGAAACTGCTCGATACCAGCTTATTTCAGAGATTTCAGCTTACCGCAAGCGGCGGAATTCTTCAATATGCAACTCAAGGTGTTTTCACAGACCTATCTCCCTGATTAGTAATGTAAGTATTTATACTGATGAAATGTAGGAGATTATAGCCAGTTGCAAACTTCTATTATATCTCATGGTGTTTCTTAGAAGGATCAGATGGATAATCTACAGTAATTTTGATGGGATATACAAAACCAACAACGAAAATCTTTTTCTATGCGAAATTGTGGTATCCGATGTGAATTTGATAGCCATATACCAACCTCTATCATATCCATTTGTCAGCCAACTGATTACTAAAGAAGTACAAATGGCCGATTGCATTTCGACAGACTCCTCATTTCTGGAAGCAAAACAACATCGACTTCAAGGAGACGATACAATTATGGAGCTCCATCGATTGACATGAAATACGATTGTTCTCAGACTAATTAAAAAGAACAATTCATGGTAAAACATGGTCGACGGGACACGAAATATCCTAAATGAGGACTATAAGTGACCTTGAAATTAAGTGACAGACAAATGCTCTTTTATAAGTCATTCACAAAAGGATTTTAATGAATTCTTGTAACTTTGTTCGATGCTGTAATGTTTATTTATTAATACACATTTAGGAAATAAATAACAGTAATTTCATATTTTATGTAACTTTATGTATTTTCAAAAAGAGTGTGATTATTACATAGTTAGTATCGCTATCATCCAAGTATATGTTGTAAATAATTACACTAACTTCACTTGATGTTGATTTACTTGACTCTTCTCATTGTTATTTAGGACTGCAGTTGATCAGTCTCCTGTTGGCATATGTACATTCTGTGCGGATTGCCTCGATCCAGCTTTAAGTCATAAGCTTTTTAAGCAAAGATGGATAGCGGCTAGCAGTGGAATCCAGGACGCGCGTTTCAAAAAGCTCATGACTAAAGGCTATATCGAGGCAATCCTCACAGGATGCACGTATGCCAACAAGAGACTTATCAATTGCAGTCCTAAATAACAATAGGAAGATTCAAGTAAAACAACACCAAGTGAATTTAAACTTCATCCCATTGCACAAGCAAGTGACTACCAAGACTCAGTAGCTAAGTACATAACGCAATGGTGTTTGAAGCGAATGGTACTGGGTTGGAGTCCTAGAGTGAACATCATCTCTGAAATGCAGGTACATCCAAGTGACAAATCCCAAGTAGGACGAGATGCGTGTCAAACTGTATTCCACTGCTAGCCACTATCCATCTTAGTTTACAGTTACGTTAACTACTTTCATACTTTCTCCTAAATTAAGTTTTGTAATTGTTAATATCAATTTATAATTAATGGAAGTGTGACGTAGGTCATTAAAATCGATCATCATTTGTTATTAATCCTTCTAGATCAAATGATGTCTAGATATCATACTTATATTACACCAAAGGATAATGAACTATGAGTTTACTCTTTCCAATATCATTTATAAAGATTATATTATGTGAAATGATTTGGATATCTCACACACACCATCTTACTGAATTCCTATACTCCGTTTCCTACTAATACCCCGTTCTGAAATAAAAGGAAAATAATAATAACCATTGATGAACACAGTGGAACCGATGCAGATGTGAAGGCGCGAATCGGAAAAGCAAGAGCAGCATATCTACAACTGAAGAACACCTCGAACTCAAAACAACTGTCTGTCAACCAACACCAAAGTCAGAAGTTTCAATACGAATGTGAAGACTGTTCTGCTGTATTGGACGGAAACTTGGAGAACTACGAATGCCATCATCCAGATGATACAAGTGTTTAATAATAGTTGTCTACGCAAAATACTTCCAATCCGTTGGCCAGACACTATCAGCAACAACCTACTGTGGGGGAGAACAAACCAGATTCCAATGGAAGAAGAAATCAAGAAGAAGCACTCCAAGTGGATAGGGCACACACTAAGGAAAGTACCCAACTAC